ACTTTCTGACAAGGGATTAACATTTGCATAGAACCATACCAGAAGCTCATATATGGTATACGCCACTAAGACAATGTGAAAGCGATCATCGGATTGAGAAGGAAACTGTAATATCCAGACTTGATGAATGGAGTAAAAAAGCCCATCATGGGCGTTACTATGCTGCCCTTACGCCTGATGGAATCGGTTTGGAAAAGCCGTTTTATTGCCTTCGATAGGGAGGATTGTTCATAGAAACAGAAGGATTTGTAGTAACAATACAAGATCAAGTGGTGATTACAAAAAACCGTACCAAATTGATCTTGAAGGAAACCATTTCGGATAAATGCAGGATATGTGGCAGTACAACTGAGTAGGTGCGACATATCGTTGTTAACTTATTCCGCTATGGTTAACAACGAATACCTAAAGCGGTATAGTAGTGTCGTAAAGTTCCTATACCGCCAGTTGGCACTTGCACCACTTGAGGTGGTGGTATGCTGGCAAAAGATCCGCTTCGAACAACCAGATATACTGTGTTCGATTCCAGAGGAAGGACGACGCTTTTCCTCAACGCATATTCTCTTGAACAACAAATTCTACCCACGTTGCTTAGGTGTTATCAGTCCAGAAATGGGTAGCAGGTCGCTCACTTGCCAACAACAGAACGAGCATTGTTTCTGACGCGATCACTTCAGAGATTTACAATTGGCGTTGACTCACCTGAGAGCCGCTTGTTTAACCTGATGACCAATAAAAGGTGTAACCCTGTTACATCTTCTTGAAGGAGGACTAATCTCAGAAACGAAGCCGCATTGTTGATATCATCCAAAGAGAGTTCATGCGCATTTTCAGAGTACCATCGGTTTCGACAATTCTGTACTAACCGATCATGCTGCAGATCACAATCGTCCAGACATGTTAATTTTGGACGGCAAGAGCATGATATCGGAAATTATTGATGTTAGTGTTCCAATGGACGGAAATGTGCAGAAATGATGGGTGAAGAAAATAAGAAATATTAAAATCTGGCAAATCGCCTCATTCCAATATCAATGAGGAACGAACTGAGACGAGCTGACGCTTGCGGAAAGGCTATTACAACTTGTCAAAAAGCTGTTGTTTTTTATGCAAGGTGATAGTTGCGAATGTTAAAAATTTTTAGCGGGAAGCACCTATTTTTAGCGGGAAGTTGCGATGGTTAGCCTTTCACTGTTGGTAAAAGTGCTGTAAATGAGGGAACATGAAATAATATTGCGTGGTTTCGTAACCCTAGTTCATTCTTACTTGTCATATTAGCTTTAGGGAAAAGTAATAATGGTTATTTAATACCAAATATAATATGAGCGTTATGTATAAAAGTTGGAATAATTTAATACTCAGGTAGCAATATTCTAGCAAACCCAGAAAAACATGTTTAATTTTAAAACTTCATTCATTATTACGTAACCTTGTGAATAATAATTCGTTCAGTTTGGCTTAGAACTTATCATGCAATTGCAGGAAATATAACACAGAAAGAATACGGAACATCGTCAGTCAAAGAGCAATTACAGGTGTGCGAATGATTTGTGATGTTGTATGATCGTTGACGAATGTAAACGGCACGCTGTAACGACATACCAAGGAAGAAAACAATCTCTCACCTTCAGTCAAGTCAATTAACAATGCGAAGACACTCTGGGATGGTTCACTACGGTGCACTGGAAGAATATACCCCCTTTCACTCCCCACACAATGATCAGAGTGTACGGTATTATCAGAAAAACACTAATGGAACAGGGGCGCTATGAAGGCATTAATCACACAGTCCTGCTAGAAAGTCAACCTGGTCAAAAGACACTAACTCTGCGTTAATTGAATAAACCTTGTCCTTACTGTTCGCCGACGAACTACTCAAGCTGCAGCGCTGACAGAAAGCTCGCCTTCTGGCTCCACACGTATCAGCCTCTATGAACAGTGGAAGAACTTCTGAATTCAGTCGACCACCTCCCTACCAGGATGAAAACCCATGTGACACGGGGAAACGTCTGTACTGGTCAATCAGTCATTCGATTGACCATATTTCTTACGTTATGCATGAGTAAACCGTACGTTATGCTGTTTCCATAATAACCCCTACTTGTTCTTACCAATTAGGCTGGCCGTTGCTAGCCCTGCACATAACGTCTTTTGAAGAATGTTGGCGTGCCTATTTATGTTACGTTGTCTGTTTGTTTGTTGACGGAAGAGGACGAAGCTCCTCTGAGGTGCCAGCGACTTGTAAATAAGGCAGTTTTCCGATGTGACAGATTCCCACTACCGTTCCGCAATCGACAGTGGATCACAAAACACTCATCGCTGACGGAGTATTAGATTTCTATCTCACCCACTTTTGATAACTATTTCCCCATTACCATAAATTACACAACGCCAAGTAAGGCTCTTATT